AGAGTGGTCCGGTGGACCTTTGCTCTTAGTTAAAAGTCTCGTCGGTCTGTTAGTCTGTCACGTCTGGCTACCCAGATATCAAACATGTTTAAGGGGAAGATTACTACTGTGTGGTACTTCTTCATGACAGCAGGTAGCTGAACGGTCTTGTTGTACTTTTGAGTAATTGATACACACATATAAAACACCGCAACGCAATCTAAACATTTGCACTTCACTTTTTGGCTACCAAATGAAATTTACAGAGGTTGTAATCCACTGCTTCAAAACCATATTCGACATGAAGTTGAGGCTTGAAGTTTCCGTCATACGTGATATCATACAGGCAAGGTCTTTGATACAGGTATTTTCCAGATCATTCTTGTAACTATTCGTTGGGTTGGTTCCTGTTTAATATTCCTAGTGTTGTTCAGAAATTTCTTGTGTTCTTGAGTCTTTAATTCGAATCATGCATTTATTTGTTTCATTCATTTTTATGACGCGTGACTTATTCATCTTCACAACGCGCAGGAGTGTCAGAGTTTAGCAAATGATTACACAGAGAAATACTAACATTTCAAAAAACTTAGCATCATACGAGCCCCTTCCCACGTCAGTTGGCCAAACTATTGAAATCTTAGTTTTTTCTTATCGAACACAAATAATTAAAATGTAGCAGGGTGGTATAGGTTTAAAATATTAACAATGAATATTTTGATAATATATAGTAGGAAACACCAACTTTATCACTCCCTAATCAAATTTGCAGCATAAAAATAACACGTGTTGCAATTACAGCATATCAACCTATTTTCATTTCAATGCAAAATAAGTTTACAACGCATAGGTGGCTGTGAAAAATAAAAGCCATGACAATTGTTTTTATTAATCACACCTGTCAGAATACGTTTAAAATAGTCTTGGGTAGTTAAAGTGTTCAAAATGGGTACAGGAAAGGTTATTAGTGAGAAAATTCGGTTACTGATGATTAAATTTTTTAATTCTGGGAAATCAAACTCAGAAATTGCAACTTTGTTAGACTTATCGCGGTACAGTGTGAGAAATATTGTTAGAAGATATAACGTAACTGGTTCAATTAATATTAAGCTACGATATGTGAAAAAAAGTAATATCACAAATGCCGACCGAAGAGCATTAAGAAGAATAATCTACTAAACTAAGTTAGTTGAAGGTGGCGCTAGTACCACTTTTGAAATGGGTTTCTAGCAGTCCAGATCTGTCACCTATTGAAACTTTGTGGCACGAGATGAAAAAGGTTCTACGACAACAACCTGCTCGTACAATCACCGAACTGAGACAAAACCCTCAAGAAATATGGGATTGTTTTACACCAAATTTTTACCAAAATTTGGTTAACACTATGCCCAAAAGAATTTCAGCCGTAATAAAAAATAAAGGTGATGTTACCCAATGGTGATCTTTCAATTGTTGCTTTGTTAACTTCACGCATTTATTCGCACATTGTTTACTTGTTCAGATGTTCTATTAGTTATAGGTCTAAGTGATTTCAAATACGTATTTTTTACGACTTGAGTGTATCTAAAATGTTTTTGAGAAAATAAATTGTTTTCGAAGTAAATAGTTTCGTCATGTTTAGTTTATAAAGGCATATTTTGGTACAAATCTTGAAGTGGGCCAACTGAAGTGGGAAGGGGCTCGTAGATAAGAAGTGGAAGTGCTCAAACATGTAACATCAATACATTCAGACAAGAATACAGTTGATAGAAAAACATTGTCGTACTATTAAAGATGAACACATACTGAGGAAATTGAGGCTAATGTTACAGTACACTGCAATAATAAAATCGTCAGGTGACTTTCACGAAGAATGCGTTGAGCGTAAGGTGATTGTCGTGTTCAAGGTAAATATCGCCGGTCTTCAGTCATTAACGGTGGAACCAACTACTATGTGGAGAAAATTCATACCTAAACTATGTTTTCTCACACTAACAAGTGGACAGACAGCATACCAGAGGGAGTTTTAACTGCCTAGATTGCGAACTTTCATCAAAATAATTTAGACTAAGATCGCATTGATTACGTCATTGCTCCTATGGTTAAAAATCCAGGTAAAATATTTTCACTCTAGTATAAACAGCTTCTCTCCTATTTATCCTACCTAGCTCAACCTTATTAGCCGGGTTTTAATGACAACTGCAGTTGCTGGCGATACCAGTCTCCGATGAATTAATCCTTTGGGCTAGATTTATCTTTTTATTATTATATACTGAACTGGTACTAGTAATATGAAACGACCCTTCAAATATGATGCAACATGTTACCACAAGTGTTTTGTGGTCAACATATGTAGTATAAATGGCAATACTGGTCTCAATGGTGCCTATCTACTAAAGAGACTATCGTGGTAATGTCAGAATACCATCAGGAGCGTAGTACATTGACTAAGTATGGATTGCAGCAGAGCAGTGAACCGAAAAGAATTAGGGGAGAAGTTTATTTGCATCCGCGCTTTCTAGTTATTGTATAGCTATATCTACTATTTGTTCTCTGTTATGTTTTATTATTGATACCATACGTTTGAGAATAAGAGGATGACTCGTTCACTAAACAACTTTATTAGAGAACAAATAATAAATGATTAAATAGAATTGCTCATTTCAAATCACATCACAGTTGCTGGGGTTATGATTGAAAATTTACGCGTTATGTTATCTAAGACAGATCAGTATAGCCTGTCATGCTAGTTGTAGTCAATGGATACTTTTCTTATTAAAAAACGGATAACTAATTAAGAATGCGGTCCTTAACGGTCTTAAAGTGGAGGATTACACTCACTTTGCGATAAGTCGTTAATTTGAAATTATTGTAAGTAACAGATCGTTAGCTATGCAGATATGTATTATAGTACAGGCATCAAATGAACGAAAGTGCAGAGAAAATATTGCTTGAAACAGTGATAATTGCAGTAGTGGAGGCAACCTGTAGCATTTTTTACCAACCTCGAACAGCAATACAAAAACCAACATTCTTAATGTTAGAAAATTGATTGAATATTCTGACAGTCGTTTGTGGTTAGCTAGTCTAGAAGGGACTTCCAACTCTAGGGGAATGGTGTTTCCTTCCCTCAGCACTTAGATTAGATATCGACACGTCTTCTCGTGAATACCTTGATGTTGAGAAATGTCTATGTTTCCGATCGAAACTAGTATTTCAGCCGCAGTCGAAACCAAAACCGAAATTTCGGTCCAATTATAGTTTCGACATTAAATGAAACCGAAACTTCCAACCGAGGAGTATGATATGGAAGGTTGGGAGGTATCTCCAAGAAAAAACAAACTTAGTCTTTATCAATTAATACTAATAATAATAATAATAGGATTTTATTACAGAAAAATAAAACAAACTGTATGTAATAGGTAATAATCAGTCTTTATCAGATATTATTAAGACTTAGGCAAAGAAAACTGAAACAGTACTACATTTGTCTCGTAAAACAAAATAAATAATGTCCTTTTGTTTTCAAAATTTTGTTAAAAAAACAGACAATAAAACAAGAATAAAAACTTATGCCCTATTGCATCAATACTATTTAACCTTAGTTTAGATGAAAAGCTAGTTTAATGTGATGATTTTTGTTTGCATAAGTAGTTAAACACCGTTAAAAATTTTGTAAACTGTGTTTAACTTAAACGTTCAGTTTTTGGAGGTTAAATATCGTCTAATTCATTATCAGTCTTTTAAACGATGATTAAAGTATCCTTGAACTAACAGATGGTGGTTTTAGAAGAATTATTCAAAGGCCGGAAACTTAATACACCACTATCGTAGGACTAAGAGAATCACTATGATCCCAAAACCTATCCTGAGTACGGTTCAGATCTTTTTTCCAGCCTACTGAACAGTTAACTAATCTTGTAATAAAAGCATGAGCAGTCACACAAATAATTGCTATATTTGATACAAGTCATAACTTTCTCATCATTATAAGAAACCCAAAATATACGGTACGTATTGTTTACTAATTGGATAAAGTGAAACGATGAAAAACGGAAAACGAATGGAAAACACCATATTTCTTTTATGGTAGTAATAGGACTGACAGAAGTATGCTGAAAAAAAATGTTGCTGAAAAGTAACGCCACAATATATTTCAAATTTCGTCTCGTCATGTTTTGGTATTATCTACAAGGTTATCTCAGATTAAATGAAAAAGGTCATACTTAAAATAGCATATACATACATATATTATAAAACGCAAAGAACTTTTGGACGGCAAACGCAAAGAACGGCTGGCAAGCTTTATAGTGGAGAACTTACAATATTAGGTATTCATCCTGTAATGTCATCATGGATCATAAAACAAAACTAGGTTAGGATTACATGCCTAGTTAACCAGTTTGAAGCGTAGTTGCTAGCTGTTAAAAGCGTTGTAAGAAAAGTAATCTCTACGTGGGAACGTTTTGAAGAGCAAAAAAGACACACGCCACGCCACGTGTTTATACGGAACGCCTACTCTATTAGGGATATATAGACATATGTCCTCACTCTCCGATTTATATCCACTGTTTGTGGTTAGGATGCCCACATCATTTAAGTCTTGCTTATAGGGAAATGCTTTAGAACTTTCCATCCTCAACAGAAAACAGCTCTTACTAGGAACGACAGGCATGTACTGCCAGAGCAATAATAAAATCTATGCTTTTTTCAGGCAGTTTTGATTAAGGGTGACGCTTTTCTTCTCAGCTTGAAGAAATAGTGTTTATTCAGTGGTTTTTGGTTTAAATGCTGATGTTGTTACCTAGGCTATTAGAATTTAAACTCAGACATCAAGGTTGCGATCTTTAAGGGAATGTTACGGCGCAGTTACTGGCATGTCCAGTTATTTTTCTAATAAGCGTGGATCTCGGTTGGCCGCGTGGGTCAGAGTGTCGTGCTACTGATCGCCTTCGCCATGGATGTTGTGTGTTTGTTTTAGGCAGCAGCGGTGACCGCAGTAGTAGACTCTTCGGTCTCCTGATCAGTCGCCGTGCGCTGTGCGGGTTCGAGTCCCGTCCCAGGAGAAATGTTTCTCTTGGCCATGGATGTTGTGATTGTCCGTAGGTGGTAGATGGTCTCTGACTGTCGAACGCGGAGGTACCACCCGGCGGTTCTCGTAGGCGGAGCCAGAATGTGTGCATGTTGCATGCACACGTGTTCCCTCGCCAGAGTCCGTGTGGCGTCCCCCTTTCCCATGTATCCCCCATAGCCCCACGGTACCCAATGGGTGCTTAGGCCTTAGGCCTTCGTGGTAGTTGGAGTATAAAAAAAAAAAAAAAAAAAAAAAAAAAATATAAACGTGTATTATCTCGATCACGTGCAATTTTGAAACAAGTGGAATCATAGCCTAGGGAAAAAGCGTTTGCTGAATTGAATATTAAGTTTGCATGTTATCCTTCTGCGGGATAATAAGTAGAAATGAAAAGGTGTAGTGATTTGTACAAGGATATCTCAATGGAGCTGATGAAATGTTAATGCTTTAATGGCACATAACGAGGCGTAATTGTGTATCAAACTACTAATGTTACTGCTGCAGGCATTTTGATACATTTTTTTGACATTTTCATGAGGACATATGTAGGAATATTATTATGCAATAAGCAATAATAACCTAGAAAGGAATTTTATAGACTTGATTTATTCTTCACAATTGGGCACAGTTATTAACATTCTATAAAGTTACAAATGACCAAAAAGTCTTTGTCATTACATCGAAGATGATCGTTTTGATTTGGCTCTATACTGCTTATTCTTACGCTGTCATCAGTTCATGGAAGGTCGTGTTCGGCCCCGCTCTAAAAAAATACATGTGGAGTAAAATGCAGCCATCCAAGTTGGCCCATTTAGTTAGTTTCCAGTTTCCACCCATCTGATAACGCTGCGATCTCCATCATTTGCCCTACGGTTACTTCGTTTTTTGTTGCGTTCCACGCGAGATGTGACGAAAATTGTTCACATGGTTCTTAATGGAATACCATGCAAGCAGTTCCTATTGCGATATCGCGAGGACCAACCTGGAGACGTCAAACATCGAAATAGAAACTGTATCTCGGATCAGTAGTTTTTCATTTCCTAGGGGTATACATTTCATGGGGAGGCTATAATCTTCTGAAATGTGGCTTTTCAGAAGAATTCTCAAAATACTATAAAAAGATTTCGATTAGAGCAAGGGGAGGGGGGGGGGGTAACGAGACTCCGGAGGCAAAAATATCAGAACCGAGAAATATCCGTCACGCGACTAGGCTAGATACGCAGACATTTTTAAGAAGAGCTCAAAGCAGAAATCAAATTGCACTGGTTATAGTCATCATTCATTTAGTGTAATCATATTAGTAAATTTTCCCAAAATAATTGTAAAGGCTGGTTTTATGGATGCAAGGGGGATATACAAAACATGGACACATAAAATGGGTACACCAATTTTTGTGAGAAAACTTTATTCGACAACAAAGAATTTGAAACGTGTTTTTTTTGGGATTCAATCGTGTGTTGTCAGGAACCAAAAGACTCTTCAAATAAGATTTTTTGGTATTTATAAGACAAACAGAATGAGACCTCACGTAATAGTTAAAAAGTCATGACCGAAAACCGAATCAAAATGCAGGTTATGGCTCTTATTGCTATGCGACGACAATGTCACGCAGCCACTTGCAACTCTTCAACTCCATAGGATACATACTTCTAAATAACCACAACAAGATTGGAGTAGATTGGTCAAGTAGTTTTTTGAGAATTTCTAACTGCTGTTTTCCGGCTATCACTACTAGTTTATTGAGCAATATACAGGCTTCGTTCAAAGAGTAATTGAACAAATGCGCTACGATATTCGAAAAATATACGTTACTATATGCATTTTAAAAGAAAGCGGATGTATCTATCATCTGTTGTTGCGAATTACTCACAAATAAGGAATGTTTGAATTTGTTTAGAAGAAAAAACGTAACCTATCCTGTTTTGCATAAGAATAACATTTATCTTACGGAATGGTTTGCGATTCATATAGAAAAGGTCAACTAGTATATTTTGCTATAAAATGCCCTTTGAAGTAGCCCTGTATATTACTCAATAAACCAGTAGTGCTGGCCGGAATACACGTGTTTTGGGATAAACAATTAGAAAATCTCAATAACTACTTGACCAATCTACTCCAATTTTGTTTGCAGTTATTTAAAATTATCTACGAATCGTACGAATTTGAAGAATTTCAAATATCTGCGAGGAACCATCGTCGCATTAAAAAGTGCCAAAACGTGCAGTTTGCCTCGGTTTTTGGCCATAACTTTTTTGCTATTAGTCGGATCTTTTCACGTGTGGTCTCATTTTGTTCTTTGTTGTCGAACAAAAAGTTTTCCCACAAAAATTGGTGTATCCATTTTATGCATCCACGTTTTGTATACCCCCTTGAACAGCTTGCAACAATAAAACAGACTTTACAATTATTTCGCAAACCAGGGGTATTTTCGTCTAATATGATTATACTACTATGATTGATAATTATGAAATTGTTACCACGTGAAATGTTACTATACTTCAAGAACCATCATGGTCTCGGGAAAAGGCAAAACGTAGCATTTTATACTCTTGATTGTTAGTTTAGCCATTATAAGCAGAAATTTCGTTACATGTATATTTACCCTTTAATTTCTCATAATCTGTTAACTATACGAGAAATATTTATAGAAGTAAAATGATTAATAATTTACTTCCTACCGATTTGTTTCCATTATTTTTTTTAAATAGGACAGATGGTTTCCGAGATTTTCGATCAAAGGCGTTTATCAAAATAGCGCAAATGCTCCAGCTCTATTATATCGCCAATTTGAGCTTATCATGAGGGAGCAATAATCTAAAGATCCCACCAAGAAAATTTACTGTCACCCACACTGTAGGATTTTCTTATACGAAATCTCCCCATTTCCTAACCTATTCATGTTGATCAATATTTTTTTGTGACCTGTGCGTTAGTGATGTTGCCCAATGCTGTAGTACTCTGTTTTTGGATCGCATGTCTCGAAAGAGGATCTCAATGTTTGCGTCCCGATGAAGAAAACAAATATTTTCGAAAGCTAGTCATGAACAAAGAACAAAATTTCTGGCCTGAATTTCTTGTATATTGTGGCTGCAGCCTCAATATCTTCGTATATTGGAACTACCTATCAGGACACATTCATAATAACTTACCAATAAACGTAACTGAAACTCCATTCTTAGTGACGGTGGTCTTATTCTTTGGCGGAGTATGTCCGCCACCTCCAGCATCGAGATCGCTGCAGGTGCCCGAGTCTAAGGTATCACTTGGTGACACTTGTCCGCTGGACATTACCGAAAAAGAACCGTAGTAGAAGTACCCATCTTGGTGGTGGTGACCACCAGCAGTTGTGGGCATGGCGCTACTCTTTTGGATCATCGCCGGCATTGGAGCGTATGATCACAATTGTTCATTACACCGTGGACCTTTGGGTGGAATCTGGAACGAAATACTCAAAATCAGTCATATCTAACAAAAACTATACAATACAGGGTATTTAACATACAATGACAATATATATATATATAGAGCAGAAAGTACAGGGTGGACGATTATAAAGTACACTTTTGTTTTTTAAATAAAATCGCGAAACGCGAGCGGAACGCTAGCGAGTGGTGTCATCCAACTACGGGATTCATGCATTTTTTCATGTCACTGAGCGACATCTATTTTGAATAAAATATGGATTTCAGAGTTTACGAGGTCTGTAAACTAATGATACTGATTCTTATTATTATTTTCTTATTCAAATATAATTACAATTCTATATTTTCACCCTGCCATGCAGAGCTGGAGGTGGTTCTTCTAGGGGTACTGGAGCTCCGATACCGGAATAGCCTTCAGCTGGTCGGTAACAGCCATTTGAATGTTTTCGACTGTCCCAAAACGAGGTGATGCTTTAATTTTGGGAAGAGAAAAAGTCACAGTTGTTCTAGATGTTTGAACTTACATGAACGGTGGTGTGAGTCAAAGTTAACTTTTTCCTGATCATTCTGTCAAGCGATGATCTAAATGCATAAGGTTCCGGCATCTGTCGATATTTTTATCGGCTTCCGAAGATCAAGGCCTCCGCTTTGTGGTTCATCTTTAATCGACTGTCTCCCCTCTGAAAATGCCTTAACCCACCAAAAAATCCGCAGGCTTATTACGTAAAAATTTCCAACTCTGATTGGTGAGCAACCGACCACCAACCGACTTGCGACCGATTGTTGACCGACCGAAAAATTCGTATTCGCATGCAATTGGCAACCGGTTGCCCAACTGTTGAGTGCAGTTTTTGCGACCGAAACAGCGCCACTAGCAATCGAGTAGCAACCGGTGGAATTAAGTGACATACGATGGTAAACAATCGTCGTGTTCATAAATCGAAAAATGCTAAATACATTGTGGATCGTGATTGTGAATTTAAAATTAACTATGGGACCTAGCTTTGTTGAAAATTGAACACGTAAGTATATAATACGATGGTCTGTTCTTGAAAATGAATGTCTGTGTGAGCCGCAGATGTATGGATTTACATAAGTCAAAACTGGACCCTTGATACACACTTAATATATACACACGACATTTGTCACATAGATTATCCTTGAAGACTTATATCAAGGCAGAAAGAGCGATGCAAAATCTCGTGGTGGTGGAGTTGGAATCTATGTTAAATCAAATTTACATGCTGAAAAGGTAGATATTCATAAAAATTTTGGTGATTTTATCGAAAGCATTTGGGTTAAATTGGTTGCGGGTAAGTGTGAACTGTTAGTAGGTGTTTTGTACCGACCACCCTCTAAAAACATACAACAATGTGCAGATTTATTAAATGGTTTCCTACCCAGCCTCTCGTTATATCATCATAACATCGTGATATTTAGAGATCTGAATATGAATTTTTTTAATAACAATATATTCTCACTGAGTTTTGAGCTGATGGGGTTCACACAAATCGTAACGGAAGCCACCCGTGTCACAGATAGTACTGCAACATTAATCGATCCAATATTTTTAAATAATCCTCAAATATGCAGCTATTCTTCTGTCATGGACACGAATGGTATTTCGGACCACAAACTCGTATTTTTTCATTTTGACATTCCATCTTATAAAAGAAAACAAAAATTTATTACAATCAGGGATTTTAAACATTTCAG